GCTCTGCATTTGGAGGACATCGTAGCACTTGATGACATGCACAGCTCGGAGACGTGTGGCCAGGTCCATGATCAGCATGAATTTGAGCTTCAGCTTGCTATTGGGTATCACCCACTCGGTCACGTCGACGCCAATAGCTTGCCAGGCGCGATACAGTGGATGCGTGGATGCCGGTGGTATACTTCCGGAGGATGATCCGCCAGGTCGAAGAGCATCACACGAAGCACACTTGAAGTCGCGAGCCATTTGAACCTTCCATTCGGGTAGCCGAGCATCTCGAAGTAGGTGCACAAGGTTGCGGTTGGTGGGATGCCCAGCGGCCTTGTGGAAGTGGTGTAGCTTGGCAGACCAAGCTCGGTGTTCTGGACCATCTTGAGGTACATCTGATGGCACAGACAAAATTGCTTCACTAGCGGGGTGACCATCTGCATGGAGTTCTCCAGCATGGAGATCATCGCGAACATGACCAGGAGGTAGAGCTAGGGATTGAGTTGCCTCCCAAGGTTCGTGAGATGGTGTGAGGGATGCATGCGATGGCCAGGTTGGGTCTATGGAGGTGATACCGTTGTGCTGGTAGTGCTTGAAGTTCCAGTGGTCGTCATCCAGGTTGACGTCCTTGTCAGACAGGTTCTGACAGGCCGAGAGGTACTTGAGGTACCGTTGTGGAGCAAGTTCAGATAGCCATCCGCGGACGATGGCTTGCACGAGGCGCAGTGGATAGTAGCTGGAGCGGCTCGTCTCGGCTCCTTCTATTCGTGCATGGTTGTGGTTGTTGGTGCAGACCCGGGCGCGGAAGGTCTGATGGAAGCGCTCATCGGTGGTACGGATCAACCACCGTTTCTTCAGGAGGTCCGTGCCGGCTTTGTTGGTCATGCCATAGCGACAGCCGTCAACTCGGCAGGGAAGCCAGTCCAGACCACGAGCTCGTAGACCTTCACGAAGGTCAACCACTGGTTGCTGCTCCCACCCAGCGCAGGGATGGGTCCATTCCCAGTAGATGTCGAAGTCCGGGTCCTCGTCGAGGGCCTGCAGGATGAACTGCTTGGCGTTCCTGAGCATTTTGCGTTCTCGACGTCGGGCTGTTTCAAGGACTTCTCGACGTTCCGGAGTGTTGTAGTTCAAGTTGGTGAATTGGCACCACTTGGTACATGGGAAGGAGAACCAGATGCGCTTGGGTCTGTGTTGTCGCCGTAGGTCTTGAAGGCGTACCCACGTCTGGGGGTCGTAGATGTCAAAGCCTGCGTTGTAGTTGATGCGGCGTGCTGGTAGTCCATGATTTTGCACTTCGGAGGTGAGCCATGAGTTGTCGGAGCAGGCCACCTCCCACAGGAGATCCCGTTCGTCTAGAACCATGGAAGCCGTGGCGTTCGAGAGGTTGGTGGTCATGAGGCTCATGAGTTGTAGAAGTCGCAGACCAACAGAGTTGGGGAGCTTCTTCACGCCATCGGTTCCGCGTTGGGATTGTCCCCGAAGTGCTGGGTCTTGCGCATGGTCAGGGTGTTGAAGAGCTCGAGTTTCTCCTCCTCGGTGAGGTGCTGATCCAGGTCCGCCAGAATCGTGGTGGCCCTGTGCTCCACCTCGCGAGGTGGTTCGGAGGTCGTGGACATCTTCTCCCAGCTGTGAAAAGACTCCGCCTTCTGCGCAGGGCGCTCCTTGGACTTGGAGTTCATCCCGGAAGTTGCCGTTGAGGATGCTGCTTTCTTCGAAACGGACTTTGCGATCTGGATCTTGTGGAACAGCTTTTCCTCGGCGTTGATCTTCTCCTGCATGGCCAGGCAGATTTCCGAGGTCGGGCGCACGTCGCCCATCAGGTCCTGGAGCTCCTTCAGCATCCTCGCCACCATGCCGGGATTGTGAGTTTGGGTGCTGTTGGCTGGGCTGCCCTTGCGAGGGATGTAGGACAGCCTCAGATTGCATATTTGGCAATGGTTCCACTTGCCATGAGCATTGCTTCCGTAGCTGCCCGGCAGATGTCGAGCGAAGCATGGCCACTGGTCCGCATGACTTCGAGGGTCTCGAGGATCCAGGGGGACACTGCGGGTCTCGTCGAATTCCTTGACACCCTTCTTCTTTGGGACCGCCTCCTTGATCTTTGACAGCAGGTCCGTGGTCTCCAGATCGTCCGCGGTCGGAACCGGGGTCGCGTAGGCCATGGGACTCGGAGGTGGTACCAAAGACTGGGGTGTCACTGGTAACCTGGTTAGCTAACATCTGAGCAGATGCGCTACGGAGCCGCATCATCAGTGCAACTGTCCGGGTGTCAGGTGGTGCATGTTCAACGTGCAGGCAATCATGTTCTGGGGAATCCAGTTGAACACGGAGCGTGTGGAATTCCAAAACCTGACAATCATGGGTGGCCCTTACCATTGCTGATACCGTTGGTGAGAAACTGTCTGATGTCCAACACATAGTGACCCTTGTGGTTGTGGCGCAAAGGATATGGCTTGGGGTCACTCTCCAAACTGTTGAGGGTCGGGGAGAAATCAATCATCATACCAGCCCCGTGAGGTCCCAGATGATCCATACCAACCAGGATAGGAACCAGCATAGATCTGTCAAAACCAGGTTGATGTAGCTCTGGTGGATTGGGCAGGGCATAGACCTTGAACTGTTTGGGCGTACCTGATACATCACTCCGGAGGGTGACCTGATAAAGAGCCTGACCCCACTTCCCATTCCCGTAGCGGAAATACGGGCGAGCGGATTGATCAATCTCCACAACGGTGCAGTGGTCCTGTGCCACAATGGACTGTATGAGGCCCTTGACAGCCTCTTCTGGGCCAGCAGATGCTGTGGCCCCACAGTCCACCATGCCTTCAAAATCACCGCTGGTGGATGGCATGGTGGCAGGCATACATTCACCACCGTGGAGGTCCATGTCCAGGCCGCAGAACTCGGCCGTGTAGGAGTTGACAAAACTTCGCGAAGGGGTCGCGCCATAGCCCTTACCAGATCCAGAGTGCTTGGATTTGCCCTTGAAGTACATGGCGTCGTAATCATAGTCCATGGAGTAGGTGTTCTTGCCCTTGGACTTGCCCTTCTTGGAGCCTTTGTGCTGGTAGAAGTCGTCGTAGTAAGGGTCAACCATGAACTGAGAGTTGCCCTTCTTGCCAGAGGATCCCTTGGGATGTGGTGCATGCCGAAGGTCGGGACATTGGCGGATGAAGTGAGCGCCGCCACAGTTGTAGCATTTCCCGGAGTTGCCCTTGCCGAAGCCTCTGTCACGGTGTATGGCGGCCGTGGCTCGTTTGGCTTCAGCCCAGGTACGACTTGCTTCTTGGGCCATTTGTTCGGCAAGCTGTTCAGCTTGATGTGCTTCCTTGAGCTTTGACTCCTCAGCCGGGTCGAGATGGGGAGAGGCAGGACTGGTGTCCTTCGACTCGGAGTCGTTGTCCCAGTCCCAGGAAGTCTGGTCTTCGGCAGTCCAGTGTTGGTGCCAATCCTGATCCCACCACTGGACACTGGCATAGTGATCGTGCCATGGATCAGGTCGAGGGCCAGGTTCTTGTTCTTGAACATGTAGATGATGCTGTACAGCGTGAGGTTGGCGTTGTCCAAGAAGTTGATCATCCCACAGCATTTGCAGTGCTCGACTGATGGAGTCGTAGTTCATGCTGTTTTGGGTGGTGCTGAGGATATCACGTTTTTCTTCACTGGTCAAGCTGGCAGCCTGTAGAAGACGCCAGCCACGCAGGACGCCCATGATGAAGGAGTCGGCAAGGGACATCTCGTCAATGACATCCACCTGTGTGATGTCCAGTTGAGGTTGCGCATGAGGGATGTCCTTGCCCTTGCCTTTGCTGCCAGGTCTGGAAGATCTGCCAGGGGAAGCACCAGGTGCAGCATCAGGGGAGCTGCCGTCCTGAGAGGCGTCCGTTGCCCTTGTTCTTGGTGGAGTGGTAGCTTCGTCGGGAACGGATTCATGCTCATCTTGATCTTGATCATCTTCTTGGAGAAAGGGCTCAGGTGAACCACTGGGGATGCCGAAGTCCTTGTCCTCCTGCTTGATGCCCTTGCGTTCCTCGAACAGACGAACCAGGGCTTCGGTGAACTCCGCGTAGCCGAGGGTCTCGCGGATGAGGAAGGCACTCATGCTCTCCTGGGGCAGCCGCTTGAAGGCGAAGTACTGGGCGCAGATGGCTGCCGTGTTGGGAAGGCTCTGTCTGACCAGAGGAGAGCCGGCCAGACGTCTGAGAAGATCTCGCGTACCATCTGGTGAGTCAAACAGTTGTAGAGGCCAAGACATGGCAAGGAGCCGTGCTGGGCCCGTCAATCGACTCACCAATTTGGTCGCGCAGTAGCGCCGCTTGTCCAAGGGGACGCTCATCACCCACCAGGCGACTTCACGAGTATACCGCCTCCATGTCCGTGCGGATCCATCCCATCGTGGGATGTGGCCTTCCTTGTCTGACATCGTGTTGATGTTGAGGTTGAACTGGAGGTTGCCGTAGATGGTGTTCTCGTGGCCTGGTAATTGATGTGTTCCAGGAGGTTGCCGTAGAGGGAGTTCAGGTGTGGGGAGATCTTGATGTTGTAACGCAGGAGGTCCTTGAGGTGTCCAGTGTGACCAGGATGGTCCTCAACGTCGGTACCCGACGGAGATCTACACCTCAGTCAAAACCAGGTTGCCACCCTCAAGGTCGGGGCACGAGCCGAAGGCGAAGTGCGGGTGTTCCTCGGACTCCCGGATCGTGTAACCGTGCTCCGCTGCCAATGCAATGTCCGGGGGTCAAGGAGGCTCGCAGCAGCCGAAGCGCACCTTTGCGCTGAGATCGAATGTCCACGCGCCCAACGGCGCGGTCGCAACCGTGGCTCGGTGTCGAGCGGACAAAGGGGCCCCTCTGTCTAGGGCCATGGTGGCAGCAGTGGATCAACAGTTGACATGTCACAACCGAAGGAATCGCAGATTCATCACTTTTGGAGGGGAACACCCCCCTAATAATGGGACGGGTTTATTAATCCTGGGTCAACATTACGCTTCCGGCTTGCCGCCCGGCGTCTCCGCCGTGCCGAGGCCCTTCAGCAACGCCTGACCCTTCTTCTCCACCGCCGCGCGAACTGCCTGCACCTCGGTGACGTAGCCGCGCACCTGAGCTAAAGGCGGAAGCCTGCGGCTGCGCTCGTAACTTCGGTGCGGCCAAAACATGTGTTTCGGGTGAAAATCTTAGATAAAAGGCACATTTTAGGGCATAGAAATCATCTGGGCGGGTCAAAATGAGGGGACCCCTAACCCGTATTCGCAATCCATAGGGCGACTCTTATCCTCGAGCATAAGGACTACAACATGGTTTTGCGCGTGGAGGAAAGCGGAGGATCCCCAATTCTTCTCCGTAATTAGAACTCATAGTGGGACGACAGCTGCAAACGAGCAGAAGGATTGACACATGCTTGTGACGGGTGAAAACGGTTGTTCCCAATGCTTATCGCAATCCATGTTGAGACAAGGGGCCGCTACTTGAATCATGTAGCATGATGATTAAAAACATGAAAATATGGATTTCATGTTCTTATCCGTATTTCATAGTGGGACGACAGCTGCTTTCTAGCAAAAACACATTAATGAGTTGGACAATGGATGACAATAAAATACTCCCAATGCCTATCGCAATCTATATTGAGACGACGGGCCACTACCATCCAACATCAGGATTACAACAATACATGGACAATCGGAGAAAATGGGGGGGATCCGGACATGGTCAACTGGGGCGCACTTCAAAGATGTGTGAGTTGCATGCTCGAACGGCACCGGGTTGTCGCCGGCTCTTTCCCCGCAAACATGCAGCGCCATCATTGCGCCTAGTGATGAAAACAAAGATGGCCGATCCATCTATACCAGTAATCGTCAACAGGTGACGATGCAAAGAGGTGGCATGATGCCCATCGCCGCTCAAATCCAAGTGCCCTTTTTGGCAGCTGTTTGCTCCAGAGCCGGGGAGGTGCGTGCGCCAGTCAATGCCCCACCCACCCCAAGAAGCCAGCTGCCCAGAAAAGAATGCTGGACCGGCCCCTGGCGCCCTGCCTGCTGGAAGCTGCTGCCCCCCAACTCCTTCAGCTCTTCGGCGGAAGGGGCATACTCCTGTCACAGCCGGTCTCTAGAGCCCCTGGCCTGACTGCATTGACACAGGATACGCAGGGCTGCAAAACGTGCAATGGCGCCCATGCCCGGTTGCAGTAACAGCTCACGGCCAACCTGACCGCCCAAGTGCCCGCCTGCCTGACCAACTGACACCCACCCAACCAACCACCCACCAATCAACAGCCAGCAGCCAGCCAGCCAGCCAGCCAGCCAGCCAGCCAGCCAGCCAGCCAGCCAGCCAGCCAGCCAGCCAGCCCCAAGACGCTGGCGAAAGCCCATGCCGAGCGCCCGAAACTGCTCCTCCACCAGTGGCTCCAGCAGCGCCGCCGCCTGCCCCAGCGCCAACTGCACCACCGCGCCCCGCGCCAAGGCCGCCGCCACACGTTCCGCCGGAGAGGCGTCGGCCAGTGACAGCGGTGGCGCGCGGCCCGCAGCTTTGGAGGGCAGCAGGCCGCTGGCCGCTGCAGCCGGGAGGAAGCAGACAGCGGCCTGAAGGACTGGAGAAGCAAGTTTGCTGGAAAGCTATCCCAAATTGGGCAATGAAGCTGGAAGGTAAGGCTGTTTGTGCAGAACCGCAGGTTTCCAAAAAGAAAAGAGCAAGGGTGCTGGTCTGGACCGGATACAGACTGCGTGAGAGGCGCCACCTGAAATGCCGCCTTCATGCGCCAGCTTCCCAAACCCGGCATCCCCACCTGCAGGAAGCGCAGGAAATGGCCTTGGCCTGCCGCCAGGGCAAACTCCAGCGCCAGCAAACCCAGCGCGGCCATCCAGGGCATCTTGCAGAACTCCGCGCGTGCCTCGCTGCTGTGCAGCTTGTCTGCCTGGCAAGGTGCCGAAGAAAAACAAACCTGTGGGTTCTGGGGGCAGGGTAAAGGGCAGAACAAACTGTGAACTCCGATGCAGGTTGGCAAACCAGCAGGGCTGCTCTGGTTGGGTTTGGAGGATTGAGGGCCTCCTGCAGAATGTCAGGCTGGGACAGGCATACGTCGCTCAGCATTCACATGAGCAGTGCCCAACGCTTGGCGGGCCAATGGCTTGAGCCATCTGACTCTGGATTTGATATTCCTGTACGTTGCTGGTTGCTTTGGCTGGAATTTACCTGTCACAGTTAGTTCCTTCTTCTCTCTGTCTACGTCATCAGTAGGTCAGAGTACCGTATGATATCCTTTCTAGCGGGTTCCTGGGTTTTGTTAAAGGAAGTTCCCCCACAGTGCCCCCCACCCCACCCCCTTCGTTCAAGAACCCTATCCTCCCACCCCCGCAACTCTCCCTCCCCTCCCCGATCTGGTCCCGGCATCGTGCCTGGTCCTTCAACCTCTGAGCATGCCCCAGCAGCCGCGAGTAGAGCGATGGCCTTTCTGCCTGCCCAGCCTCGGCCTGCGCAGCTTGTGCCGCGGCCTGGTCGGCGGCGAGCTTGTGCTGGGCCAAGCCCACCAAGCACGAGTAGAGGAGACTCAGCAGTGACAGGAAGACCTGGGCCGACTCCCCAGGTTTCACAGCCCAAATTCATCAGCAAACCCAGGGATTGCTTGCGGGGTTGCATTCTGATTGGTTCATGAGACGAGTCGCATAATTGGCAAAGTTCCCTCCAGACCAAGACAAACAAGAAACAAGTGCCAGCGAGGTGCGAACACCGCCAGCAAGCCGTAAGACTCCGCGGCAGCAAGGATCAAGTACAGCAGCCCTAGCTGCAGCACTGCGATCCCTGGCGCACACGCGAGCCCCAGAAGGCTGATGCAGTCCCGTGCGCGCACTGGCACGTCGCACAGCTCATCGGCATTGGTCAGGTGGTTGTCGGCGGTCCCCTCAGCCCTCAGAACTCAACAAGGAGGAACATCTTTGCCTCCTGGACTCCTACTGATTAGCCCTCGTCAATCTGGGACAAACGTCCAATATCAATGAAGCACCAAACAACAGAGCCAATTATCCTGCTGGTGCTCAGCGGGGAATGAGGGAATGACCCCTATGAATCATCCGGGACCCCTGGGCAAGATAATTGCTGGTCCGCCAACTCTGGATGATGAAGGCGCTTCACCCCTTAGATGATGATGTTCTGGGTGCACTGCGCTACCTTGCATGCATTCATGCATTCATGCATTCATGCATTCATGCATTCATGCATTCATGCATGCATTCATGCATTCATGCATTCATGCATTCATGCATTCATGCATTCATGCATTCATGCATTCATGCATTCATGCATTCATGCATTCATGCATTCATGCATTCATGCATTCATGCACTCATGCATTCATTCATTCATTCATTCATTCATTCATTCATTCATTCATTCATTCATTCATTCATTCATTCATTCATTCATTCATTCATTCATTCATTCATCATTCATTCATTCATTCATTCATTCATTCATTCATTCATTCATTCATTCATTCATTCATTCATTCATTCATTCATTCATTCATTCATTCATTCATTCATTCATTCATTCATTCATTCATTCATTCATTCATTCATTCATTCATTCATTCATTCATTCATTCATTCATTCATTCATTCATTATTCATTCATTCATTCATTCATTCATTCATTCATTCATTCATTCATTCATTCATTCATTCATTCATTCATTCATTCATTCATTCATTCATTCATTTCATTCATTCATTCATTCATTCATGCATGCATGCATGCATGCATGCATGCATGCATGCATTCCTTCCTTCCTTCCTTCCTTCTTTCTTTCTTTCTTTCTTTCTTTCTTTCCTTTCTTTCTTTCTTTCTTTCTTTCTTTCTTTCTTTCTTTCTTTCTTTCTTTCTTTCTTTCTTTCTTTCTTTCTTTCTTTCTTTCTTTCTTTCTTTCTTTCTTTCTTTCTTTCTTTCTTTCTTTCTTTCTTTCTTTCTTTCTTTCTTTCTTTCTTTCTTTCTTTCTTTCTTTCTTTCTTTCTTTCTTTCTTTCTTTCTTTCTTTCTTTCTTTCTTTCTTTCTTTCTTTCTTTCTTTCATTATTTCATTTCATTTCATTTCATTTCATTCATTCACTCATTCACTCATGCCTTCCTTCATTCCTTCCCTGCGTCCCTCCGTTCCGTTCCGTTCCGTTCCGTTCCAATCCGGTCCTTTCCGTTCCGTTCCGTTCTGTTCCATTCATCCATCCATCCATCCATCCATCCATCCATCCATCCATCCATCCATCCATCCGGCCATTCCATGCCATGCCATACCATTGCATTCCATTCCATTCCATTTCACTCCATTCATTCACTACTTCGCGCTTTGTTTGTTTGCTTATTCTGTGAATTGTGTGTGGGTATTTATTTCTTTCTGTTGTTGTTTTTTTTTGGGGGGGGGGGCGGGGTCAAGGAGGCCTTGAAACAATGCCCACGGGAGGGGAAGGCACCCATCGATGAACCCTTTGACCTTCTCCAGCTCCGTGGCGACCGTCGCCACGAAGCGGCCGCTCGACTTCTTCACCACCTCACAAACGGGGGGGATGCCCGGCGCGCACTGCATTGCACCCTCCCCCCACCCCCCACCCCCCTTGTTCAGGCTCCCTACAGAAAGAAACCAACGTTAAAGGGACCTAAAGACTGGTGCTGGCATTTTGCGTGTCAGCCCCGCTTTCCGTACTAATCTCTTCTCAGTTTTTCTGCGTGACTTGAAAGCAATTCACCTGAGCGTCGGGCGGTCGTGCTGCTTGCCGCCATGCCCCCCAAAAAAAGCCTTGAACCTACGAGCCTGCGAGCATACACCAAAGGCTCATGCAATCTCCCAAGACGGGCCTCACATTCAGAGCCAACCGGTCGCTAGCAGTCAGTCCGCTCGCGAGGCCTGCAGTGCCCTTACTTGCTACATACCTATTCCTCCGCAATAAATGGTGTTCGGCTCTGGGGAATTCACTTTGCTAGACAATGCAATGCAGAAAACGCAAAAAAAAAAATATCAAATCATAGGCATGCTGCTGTCTCCAGCTGTGAGCAGCTGTAGTCTCAAAAGGCTCTTCTATACGCTTCTCTCGGCAAAACAGGACCTTCAGTCAGCTGCCACGACCACAAAGGCAGCCCAGGAAGTAGCTTCAGCAGAAAACATGCGAGCTAAGTCAAAGAGGCCCGTCGCAAAACGAACACACCCCTGGCGAACCCAGCGCGGCCAAGCTGGCGCAAACAAAGCTGCCATGCACCCAGTCGGCCAGCCAACCTATACTCCCATAGAACTGTGGGTTTGACTCACTTGCTGCCACCTAGTTCACCAACTTTCCCTGCAACTCCTCACCCCAACCCAGCAGCCACACTGGTACAAAAAGTGAGCCCAGTTCTTTACCTTCCCCACCCCATGCCTGATTCTGAGCCACATTTGTTGCACCTCAAAACGTACAACGTGCAGAGAGACCCCACTTTGACTCACCCAACTTCACGCCTTCCAACCCCGCCCAACAACCCCAAGGTGACTCAGGGTGACCACCTGGTTCTGATTCTGTTCGGATGCCCTGAAACAGAACATCTCTTAGGAGACCCCAGTTTTGGGTTCGACCTTCCCACCGAAGGCCCCAAGACCATAGGCCCAGGCGTCGATCACCTCCCGCAGCTCTCGCGCCACGTGCGCGGCTGCGCGCACCGAGGCCTTGCGCTTGGAGTTTGGAGCTGGGCTCCAACGCAACCCCCAACTCCGAAGCTGAGCGAACGTGCGAACGTGGGGTACCTGACTACTCCCCCGCAGATTGACTTAAAATCTTACCCGTTTATTATCTGGGGGGGGGGGGGGGGGGGCGTTTTTGGGATCCGTGTTCATGTGCAGAGTAGCTTGCTAGTGGGTTTGTTTGGGATGCCTTGCCACCCCAGAACACAAGTGGGCCCCACGGTCACAGCACTAAAGGCGACCCTTCCGGGCCCCGAGCTTCCAGTGCCTCACCCCACCCTCCCATCAAAACAAAATCTGGCGCCTGCAGGGCATCCACACTGTTTGCTCACCCTGGATCAATAGACACACGAACAGCTATCCAGCTATTGATGACCAGGGTTCCCCTGGAAGAATAGAATCACCACTAACAAAGGACATCACTGATGAACAAGTGGGGGGTTGTTAGTCAGAGGTTTGCATTGAATGTGCAGAAGAGGAAGTAGAGGCCAACGAATCAACAAACCCCTTGCGGCAACCCGCACCCCACTTCTGCGCTGGAACCTTCAGGGCGGTGATGTCCTGCACGATGCACAGCACACCTACGGTCCGAGGAGCGCTAAGCGGACGGGGCGTATGAACATGGCGAGAGGCAATACCAGGTGTTAGGATGCCCGGGAACAATCTTGCCGGTGGTGTTAAACCTCTTGGGCAATAAATCGCCACTTATGTAAACCTGCCACTCTATAAACCCAAGGTTCAACAATACCCACCCGAACCAAATGCCACGCCTTTGGCCACAAGCGCGCCCAAGGAGCATATTAGGGATGATAACGAACCTGCAAAACACCCGCCTAAGCACGCCAGTATGAGAGCCGGGGGTCAAAACCAATCCCAACCGGCCTTCTGCAAATCCTGGCTTGGCCGGCACGGCGTTCAAGATGACATCCGCGCCTTCGGACAGCAACTTCAAACCTCCCTAGCAAAGCCTTCGACGGGGCACAGGCGGCAAAAGCCATCACTTGCAAGGAAACAAAGTTAGAGCATTCACATCACGTGAGCCAAAACACTATTATACGGGCCATGGCCATGGCCATATGCCACGACGCTTAAGCTGCTTGGCTAAGTTCAGAACTAAAGGGTTCATTCCCACCCCGACCCACCCCAAGTAAAATGGCTGGATTTGGGGCTCCATTGCTCCCATTTATATTGGAATCATCCCTGCCCTTTGGCTCCCCCAATAACTATCCATGGCCAGTGGTTGAACCACTGTGTTTTCACAACCCATGAGAGGGAAATCTTACCCGCAAAGGGACGGAAAAAAAGGGGCTCCTGCAACAAGCTGGGCCATTGCCTAACTCCAAAAGATCAGCTTTTGAACACTCAAGCGAACCTCGAATATTTGCTTTTTTGAACACCTTAAAATGCACGGGTGTCTTGTTGGCCTCCCGAAAAAAACCAGACGTTTCAAGCGGGCACCGAGCCTACCCGGATGCATCCGATCCGCGCCTGAGGACCCCCGGAAGAGGCTGGCCTCCAGGGCCAGGCCCGAGGCCTCCGACCTCGGCGAAAACCTCCGGGGGGCACAAAGTTGCCCTATTTCGCAAATAAATCCTACAAACCCATACGCCTTGTAGAGAAAGCATTTTGCCTCAAGCTCGTTGTTGCATGGGCTCCCTCATTTTGAGACAAATCCAAGTTTAACCCAAACAAGTGAAGGGGTCTGGAAGAAAACCGCAGAGAAGCCATCCGTTTTGTGTGGGTTCCCCGATTCCTGGAGTTGGCGCCCCGATTCTTGGGGTTGGTTTAGAGGGAAACCAAAGGGAAACCGTCATGTTTTGTG